AGAGAAACCCAAATCCACAAGTTGATTACGATCAATCCAATCAATGAAGCTTCTACCACCCTGGTCCAGGTTGCCTCCACATTTTTCATCTGCACTTACAATATCGTTAAAGTCACCTAGGACCAGCCAAGGCAGGTGGGAGGCACGAGCAAGGCCATCAAAATAATTCCACAAGGATTCTCTAATTCCCTGGCAAGGGTTAGCATACACCACAGTTAGGAGCCACCACTGATTCCCCAAGGTCACTAAGGCAGTAATAGATTGGCTGGAGTGGGCAACAACTTGGAGAGACACAGAGTTCCCATTCCACAGTAACCAAACACCTCCTGAGAAGCCAATAGCATCAACAATATGAAAGTGAGAGAAACCCAAATTTTGAGCAACAGTTAGGGCCCTAGACCCACTTATTATAGGTTCCAAAACAGCCAGGATGTCGATGTCAAAAGTTTTTTTTAGATCCTTAATAGTGCGAGCACAACTATTCTTACCAGCACCACGTACATTCCAAGCAGCAATATTCATTAAAAGATGGAGATTGAGGAAAAGTGACCTTAGGGAGACCCTAATTCTGTGTATGCCCAGTCTCAACGACTGCAGGGACATCATGATAAGGAAGCATACCAGCTTCAAGTCCACTGACCGAATGACCTTGGTCCAGGCATTCACTTTGTTGTTCCATGTCATCAGACGTATCCCTCATCTCTGTATTCACCCCTACAATAGGCTCCATATTGTAATCATCAGGGGGTTCAGGTCCAAGCAGAGTGCCACCCTTAGCCAAGTAGAGATCATAGGGGAGGGGCCCATCTACATTGAAGGAGAAGGCTCCACGAACATCATCCTGCAAATCAGAACCATTTACTTGCATGCCAAAAGTTTCCACAACTGGGAAGTTCAGAGGTTTAGTACCACCTCTATTTTTCCAAAGTTTCTTCGAGCCAGTACCAAACCTATTTAAATCCCTTCCCCCAAGTGTCCCAGTTGAGTTTGTGATATCCTTGAGAGGCTTTTTAAAGACCCAGGGAGAGGAGCCATAGGAGGTTGGGCTTTTGTTCCCAGGGGGTGTAGCTTTGCCATCAAGGATCTCTGCAGGCTTAGCCACGGTTTTGCTAGTCTTGTTTGAGCTAGAAGCAGTTGCTTTGCCAGGGGGGAAATCTTCCATGACTGTTCCATTTTCAATTTTTCCTTCCTCATTCAGGACATTAAACCGAGAGCCATTGTTTTCATTAGAATTCTTTGGGTTCCTCTTGCTAATTTCAGCGCCCTTTCCTGAGTCGTTCAGGATCTTCTTCTTAAAATTCCTTGTCTTCATCAACATCCATTCTCCATGTATCTTAGCTGGATTTTCAGCAGCCAGAGTAGCAGGGCTATCAACTTGTGGCTCATCATTTTTATTCGTAGTGCTCACTTCCATACCTTCAACAGAGTCAGCT